GGTGGTTTTTTAAGTGAGACAAATTGCAAATTGATTTTCAGATTCAAATGTACATTTCCCATCTCTCAAAAACTTTTGTGAAGAGGCTTTTGTGAAATGAAATTTTTTCAGGTATTACAGATCCCATTTGAAAGACTAATAACGAAAACTAAAAAAACTGCATTTAGCAGTAGGACAAACGTTATGTATTCCGCGTTTTCTTCTCCTAAACGACTACTTGAAGTTGGTCAAGAGGTCTGGTGGTTTCAGCTGTTAGTTAGGTGATAATGTCTGGAGTCTGATACTTCTTAAAGTGCTAAAACTTCTTTACGGCATTCTAATCATGGTAATCAAAAGTTTTAACGGGTAGTAGTCGTAATTATGGAAAATGAATTTTAAATACAAATCTGGAATGAAGTTTACGTTTATGTACGTCACTCTAAGAACTTGAACTTTTATACTGGAAAAAACTAATCAGCTCGACTTCTCAACAGAATAGAACACACACAATTTTTTGGAAACAACCATATAGGCTAGAAAAACAGAGGAGGAAAAGACAGCACTTGTTCAGCATTCAGCTTGTCAATGTCAGCTACCTGTTTATTGTTTATCGATCTTTGAATGTTACTGTCTTGTTACTGTTGCACTGTCGGTAGTTGTTACGTTTTTTGCATTATTAGTATTTTCGCTTGTAAAGTACGCACAATGCAGTATATTACACAACCAAAAAATAGAAGTTTACTTGCCCCAGCCTGAGGTCCACTAAACCATCAGGACCAGCCAGTGTCGTAATAGCACCAATTTCTAGAACCTGCTAAGAAAGAATTTAACGGTGAGCAGCTCAATCATTTGTTATGGTTGGGCAGTACGGAAACTATTTACAAAAACATTTACTACAGATCGTCATTGTCGGTAGTAACAGTCTCGCTAAATGGAAAAAACATTTTATTTCAAAGCAAAAATTGATTCTGAGCACATACGTGACTTAATGTCCGTGCTTAGATTAGCCCTTAAAGGATCCAACTGAACACCATATATTTGGTAACAATGTGTGGATTTTTAGGGACCAATTCTTTAAAAGACTCTGCCTTCTATCTACTCCTTTTCCCATATGTACCAAAGTGGTTGCTTTAAGCTCTTTCGCGACCACTTATGTTTAACCAAAGGAAGCATTTCTTAAAAACTATATCAGTTTTAAAGTTTTAACAGCCAATGCACAGTTGCAAACTTATGGTCTACTCCGCATCGGAATTCCTCGCTAGCCAACTTGTGTGAAAAATTGAAAAACTCTTTGAAAGTCAACATATATAAAACATGGCTTTACGTTTTACACTTTGTT